TGTAGCAGGCAGGCAGCATCAGAATCTCCGCAATGGGGCAGCCCAAAGCTCCTGCGTGCAGTAAGGAAGGAGAGAGGAGAGGGAAGGGGAGTTGGGGAATGAGGTTGGGGAAGGTGGTGGGGAAAGGTGGTGCATTTGGAATGTGCCACATGGCAGCGCTGCAGCAGGGAGGCAGCCTCTCCGCAATAAGGCAGCCCAAAGCTCCTGCAAGCGGTTAGAAGAAGGGAGTAGGGGGAAGGTGAGTTGGGGAAGGTGGTGTGCGTTGGGGGCAGCATCGGAATCCCCGCAATGGGGTGGGCCAAAGCTCCTGCATTCAATGAGGAGAGAGGAGTAGGGGGAAGGGGAGTCGGGGAAAGGTGGTGGGGGAAGGTCAGTGCGGGAAGGTGGTGGGGGAAGGTTGGTGCAGATAGGTGGTGGGGGACGGGTGGTACATTCAGAATGTGCCGTGTGGCTGCCCTGCAGCAAGCAGGCAGCATCGACCTCTCCACAATGGGGCAGCCCAAAGCTCCTGCAAGCGGCCAGAGGAAGGTGGTAGGGGAAAGGTCATGGGGGGAAGAAGATGGTTGGAGGAAGGTCATGGGGGGAAGGTGGGGAAAGGTCATGGGGGGAAGGTGGGGAGAGGTCATGGGGGGAAGGTGGGGAGAGGTCATGGGGGGAAGGTGGGGAAAGGTCAAGGGGGAAGGTGGGGAAAGGTCATGGGGGGAAGGTGGGGAAAGGTCATGGGGGGAAGGTGGAAAGGTCATGGGGGGAAGGTGGAAAGGTCATGGGGGGAAGGTTGTCGGAGAAACAGCTCTGCTAGTCATCTGCCTGCATTCTGATTCTCTTCTTCTTCTCAGTTCCTTCTGCTGCCTCAGCCACTCTCTAATGAAAGAGTCAGAACTCCCACCTCAAGGGTCCTCTCTGAGTGGTGTGCCACCTGGCTGTGAGTTAAGGTAACAACTCTCCACTATGCGAAAGGATAACAAACGGAAAGCATCAGGGATGTGTGAGAGAGTGACTTTACCTGGCCTGGGCTCGAACCGTGCATTTCTCAATGTGCGGCTCGAGCCTGGGTTGGTTCAATCACATTGGTCGCGTGGATTTCTCCCTTGGTGCTCTCCTACCAACCTCGCGTCAACTTCCCTGGTTCCCCAACTACCTACCCTCGAATATTCATACTCAACATTGCTACACCAGAACTACACCAGAACTACACCTCAACATAACTGGCACCTTATATGCACAACCGTGCGTATTCGGTGACAAGGTGGGGAAAGCTCGTGGGGGGAAGGTGGGGAAAGGTCATGGGGGGAAGGTGGGGAAAGGTCATGGGGGGAAGGTGGGGAGAGGTCATGGGGGGAAGGTGGGGAAAGGTCATGGGGGGAAGGTGGGGAAAGGTCATGGGGGGAAGGTGGGGAAAGGTCATGGGGGGAAGGTGGAAAGGTCATGGGGGGAAGGTGGGGAAAGGTCATGGGGGGAAGGTGGGGAAAGGTCATGGGGGGAAGGTGGGGAAAGGTCATGGGGGGAAGGTGGGGAAAGGTCATGGGGGGAAGGTGGGGAGAGGTCATGGGGGGAAGGTGGGGAAAGGTCATGGGGGGAAGGTGGGGAAAGGTCATGGGGGGAGGAATCTCCATGCGCCTTACAAATCGCCTCATGACTCGCGAGGGGCATTTCTTTTGAGACGTCTCAAAAGGGGAAGGCGGGGAACGGTCATGGGGGAGGGAGCTCAACTCGTCTTAGAAATCGCTTCATGACTTGCAGGGGGCATTCCGAAGCTCCTGCAAGTGGTTGGGGGGGAGGAGCTGGGGGAAGCGATTTGGGGAAGGGTGTCAGGGAAGGGGGACGGGGGGAAGGTGGTTCGGGGGAAGGTGGCCCAGGAAAAGTGGTTCGGGAAGGTGGTGGGGGGGAAGGTGGTCGGGTGAAGGGAGGTTGGGGAAGTGGTTGGGGGAAATGGTTGGGGGAAGGTGGTTAGGGAAGGGGAAGGAGGAAAGGGGAAGGGGCTGGGGGGGGGGAATGCGGGGTTGGGGGAGGAAAAGGGGGGGAAGGGAGGAGTTGTGTGAGGGCTGCTGTGACGGACTCACCAGTCCCCTGTTCGGATGTGCAGCGAAACATCGAATTGCAGGCGAAGCCCAGTCCCTTTCGCCAACGGGTTACCACCACCACCCCCTTCTCGCCCCTCCCCTCCTTTCCCTGCTCGTAACGTCCCTCCGCTCAGCCTTCGAGCAAACTGTACTCCCCCACTCCCCGCATCCCCCGCTTCTCCCTCGTCCCCCGCAGCCTCCGCTCGAACTGTGCTCCGCAAATTTCCACTAACAAGCATCCCGTTTTCAACGCGTCGCAACCCCCCTGTTTCCAGTTTATCCAACCCTTTTCCCCGCGCAACTTCTGCTTCGTTATGTACTTTTCCGCTAAAAGCCGAAGCAGACTTCACGTGCGGAAATATTCTCACGTCCTTTTCAATTTCGCAACCTAACGCTTTTGTCGGTCCGCCTCCTAATAAAATCTCCATCGTTCTTGACCAAATGCACCAGTCCGAAGCGCACCCTAACGCGCCCATCACGCACCGCGTTAACTCCTTATCCTCCTTCCAATACCTATCAAACCCGCTCGACATCGTGACTATAACGAGCGGGTCCGGATCCGCGAGCGATCTCCGCATCTGCTCTCCGTTCGATACCAGCCGATCCAACGGCTCCGCGTAACTAGGCAGATTATTATTCAAAAACCTAATCTCGTCGAAACCGCAGACGAACCCCGCGCAGAGGCTGTTCATCGCGTCGCCGTACTGCCCGCCGTGCCAGCGCAGAAGGCGGCGGCCAGAGAGGAGCGCGTAGACGAAGGATGAGGAGAGCGCGCGGAGCATGTTACCTAGCCCGGCTCGAGGCACCCAGATCAACCAGCGATCCGCGGAATCGGTGCGACCGATGCGACCGGCGGAATTCTTGGCGGAATCGGTGGGATTTGTGAGATTGGTGCGATAATTGGTGCGAGAAGCGGAATACGAGCGGTAGGAGGAGGGAAGGGAGGAGGACAGGAAGGGGGCAGGGGGTGCACGACGTTGCTGTTCCCCCTCCGACCGGCTCTCTTGTTGCTGTTCCCCCTCCGAGCGGCTCTCCTGTTGCTGTTCCCCACCCGAGCGATTCTCTCCTACTTGATTCGAGCTTTTCTCTCGTTCCCGATCCAAACTATCCTCTCGCTGCTGGTCCTGCAGCCATCGCCGGTGCACGCGGAGCAGCTCGTCGGAAAGAACGGGCCGGCCGCGCGAAACCCGCGAGGAGTAGGCTTGAGGCGGAAGGAGCGCGCGGCAGGAGGGGGTGTCCTGCGGAAGGTGGTTGGGGAAGGGGAAAGTGAATATGGGGAAGGGGGAAGGGAAGAGAAATGGTGAGGGAAGCGGAAGAATGATGGCGTGAGGTGGAAGAGTGGCATGGGACCATCGTTGATTCCTGAGTCGATTTAACAAACGATCACTCTTGTTGGCAGGCAGCGTGTCCTTAATGAGCGAGCCTGGCAAGCTAATACCGAAGCTGGCTCTGACTCTTCGGCGCTAAGGCAGGTCCTGAATTGTTGGCGCGAAGGCTGCTAGCGCGAATTCCACACCTCAAGGCTGATGTTATGGTGCTTGACGTTCGCGCTTCGCCACGTGGACTTGACCAGGGTGTCCGGCCACGTCACGCGGTGGTTCTGATTGGTCCGCCCGCCTACCAGGAACTCCCAATTGGCGCGCTCTTCAACGAAGCGCATCGACACGCCCTTGACGTACACGCGCGATATCCAGTCGCGGTTTATAGCCGCCAGATGACGACGGCGATGCGGGGAAACGGGGGGGAAGCTTCTTAAGTGGAACGGGGCTGATGCCGCCGCGTGAGTGTGAACGAGGAGGATGCTGGAAAGAATTGTTACCACGAGTATTAGTGGGCAAAAAAGGTAAGAGCTTTTTGAAGGCCCTGTTACAACGCGACGTCGAAGTGGCATCGACGGTAGCAAGACTCCGCGTTGAGGTTTCGAACGTAGATTAATAGGCCCTGCTCTGCGAGCTGCGTCGTGACAGTGATGAACACTATTTCCCTCTGCGTCGGAGCTGCTTGTATTGGAGATACGCATGGTGTCGGTCCTGCGATGATGACTTCCACGTGTCAGCTTCTACCTCCGCTTCCGCTGCGCCTTAGGTGCTTGTTCGGATGAAGGCGTATGGATCCAAAAAAACGACTTCGTGCTTCTTGCTCGTGGGAGACCGAGGTGAGTCGCGAATATGAAGGTTGTTTGTGTGGTTCTGCTGTGCCTCCCTGTCCCACTCGGGCGCCTCATCGTCCTGTCGCGACAATGTTTCGTTTGATACATGCTGGAGAAAGAGAGGAGCATTTCATCAGCGGATGATGTGTGAAGGTGTTAGGGTGCGTCATAAAGCACACGATTTCGCGGTTTCGTGAGTTAATAGACGCTTGAAACGGATAAAAACTGGTTAGGAAGGGTTTGAGCGAAAGTGAATGCGTGACACCGAGTACCACTAGGCGGCTGCATTATTTTTGAATTGAAACGACGCGCGGATTTGGTGCTGAGCTTGGCTGCTGTGCTGTCTGCCTCCTGCTCCAGTGCGGTTGGTAGGGATTGCGCGGGAAAAAACATTTGCGAAGCTCACTGACGCGCCGCCAGAGGGGAGGGTGGTACACGTTGACGAAATACGCGATCAACCCGTCTTCGTTCGCAAGTGTGCGGCAGTCCGAAAGCATCATCTGCGCACATACCTGCCCCGCGTAAGTTTGAAATGTATTTAACAACATAAAGCACTTCAGAAGTGTACCTCTGATTCATATACGTTCTGTTGTCATAATACCACCTCGTTTCGGACCTTGAACTTCCCGTTGGACCAAACCAAACGGAACAGCCACTAACTTGCTCCTTTCTAATTTATTAGAAGCAGCTTGACTGTCTCTGGTCCGTGGACCACGTCAGCTGGGTCGCCGTAGTTGCCTATTCGCCAGTCTTAGCTGATCAAGCGCGTGCAATCCGAGGCGCCAGCCAGCATGGGTGCCGCCTTATCGTCGATGCTGGCGGCTCCCGAGTCGCTTTTGACCTTCGCAGTCGTCGCAGCCGTCGCGTGGGTTGTCGTCAAAATTCTCCTGCAGCCTAAAGTCCCGCGAATTTTCGTCGACACTTCGTACAGTAAGCGATCATCGCGTTCTCGAGTCTTGCGCTAGTTAAACCTTTATGTCCCTTAAAGCGCTTTACATTCCTCGTTTGTAGACATAAGGGAGTTGTTTTCCATCAGAGTCGTACTTCTCCGTGTTAGATACCTATTGCTACCTCAACTTCCTGCGTTCTTTCTTCTCCACTCCGTTTCTTCACCCACCTCTTCGTCACAGCCGTTGCGAGCACCAAAATTAGAGACACCATTCCCCTTTTCTTGACAAGATTGGGAAAGGACTAACGTGATTTGGTTTGAAACCCTCGCATGTGTTTGTCCTGGCAATCGAGCCTGTGCAGTTACGGAGAAGCAGGAGGAGAGCAAAACCAATCGATATATTTATGTAAGCCGTTGCTTTGCCAGCTTCGTTTGCTCAACTGCACATTTCACTCCTCACTTTCTTCACTCTTACATTTAGAGCACACTCGCGTCGCCTTCACATTCACAGGGAAAAGCTCTATTATTGGTTGCCGATTTTTACCGTTTCGTCTTTCCTTCAACTCTGCTGTCCTTTCTCTCCCCACCCCCCCACTCAGTTCCCCCGGGGGGAGGGGTCAGCAGGCAACAGAGTGCAGTGCTACGACCCTGCCACGCTGCAGTACCTGGGCTTCTCGCCTGCTCTGAAAGCATCAGATGTGAGTGGGTGAGAAGGGAGGTCTTGATGAGTCAGGTACGTGATAGGGTGCAGTGCTACGACCCTGCCACGCTGCAGTACCTGGGCTTCTCGCCTGCTCTGAAAGCATCAGATGTGAGTGGGTGAGAAGGGAGGTCTTGATGAGTCAGGTACGTGATAGGTGGTGCAGTGCTACGACCCTGCCACGCTGCAGTACCTGGGCTTCTCGCCTGCTCTGAAAGCATCAGATGTGAGTGGGTGAGAAGGGAGGTCTTGATGAGTCAGGTACGTGATAGGGTGCAGTGCTACGACCCTGCCACGCTGCAGTACCTGGGCTTCTCGCCTGCTCTGAAAGCATCAGATGTGAGTGGGTGAGAAGGGAGGTCTTGATGAGTCAGGTACGTGATAGGTGGTGCAGTGCTACGACCCTGCCACGCTGCAGTACCTGGGCTTCTCGCCTGCTCTGAAAGCATCAGATGTGAGTGGGTGAGAAGGGAGGTCTTGATGAGTCAGGTACGTGATAGGGTGCAGTGCTACGACCCTGCCACGCTGCAGTACCTGGGCTTCTCGCCTGCTCTGAAAGCATCAGATGTGAGTGGGTGAGAAGGGAGGTCTTGATGAGTCAGGTACGTGATAGGGTGCAGTGCTACGACCCTGCCACGCTGCAGTACCTGGGCTTCTCGCCTGCTCTGAAAGCATCAGATGTGAGTGGGTGAGAAGGGAGGTCTTGATGAGTCAGGTACGTGATAGGTGGTGCAGTGCTACGACCCTGCCACGCTGCAGTACCTGGGCTTCTCGCCTGCTCTGAAAGCATCAGATGTGAGTGGGTGAGAAGGGAGGTCTTGATGAGTCAGGTACGTGATAGGGTGCAGTGCTACGACCCTGCCACGCTGCAGTACCTGGGCTTCTCGCCTGCTCTGAAAGCATCAGATGTGAGTGGGTGAGAAGGGAGGTCTTGATGAGTCAGGTACGTGATAGGGTGCAGTGCTACGACCCTGCCACGCTGCAGTACCTGGGCTTCTCGCCTGCTCTGAAAGCATCAGATGTGAGTGGGTGAGAAGGGAGGTCTTGATGAGTCAGGTACGTGATAGGGTGCAGTGCTACGACCCTGCCACGCTGCAGTACCTGGGCTTCTCGCCTGCTCTGAAAGCATCAGATGTGAGTGGGTGAGAAGGGAGGTCTTGATGAGTCAGGTACGTGATAGGTGGTGCAGTGCTACGACCCTGCCACGCTGCAGTACCTGGGCTTCTCGCCTGCTCTGAAAGCATCAGATGTGAGTGGGTGAGAAGGGAGGTCTTGATGAGTCAGGTACGTGATAGGGTGCAGTGCTACGACCCTGCCACGCTGCAGTACCTGGGCTTCTCGCCTGCTCTGAAAGCATCAGATGTGAGTGGGTGAGAAGGGAGGTCTTGATGAGTCAGGTACGTGATAGGGTGCAGTGCTACGACCCTGCCACGCTGCAGTACCTGGGCTTCTCGCCTGCTCTGAAAGCATCAGATGTGAGTGGGTGAGAAGGGAGGTCTTGATGAGTCAGGTACGTGATAGGGTGCAGTGCTACGACCCTGCCACGCTGCAGTACCTGGGCTTCTCGCCTGCTCTGAAAGCATCAGATGTGAGTGGGTGAGAAGGGAGGTCTTGATGAGTCAGGTACGTGATAGGGTGCAGTGCTACGACCCTGCCACGCTGCAGTACCTGGGCTTCTCGCCTGCTCTGAAAGCATCAGATGTGAGTGGGTGAGAAGGGAGGTCTTGATGAGTCAGGTACGTGATAGGGTGCAGTGCTACGACCCTGCCACGCTGCAGTACCTGGGCTTCTCGCCTGCTCTGAAAGCATCAGATGTGAGTGGGTGAGAAGGGAGGTCTTGATGAGTCAGGTACGTGATAGGGTGCAGTGCTACGACCCTGCCACGCTGCAGTACCTGGGCTTCTCGCCTGCTCTGAAAGCATCAGATGTGAGTGGGTGAGAAGGGAGGTCTTGATGAGTCAGGTACGTGATAGGGTGCAGTGCTACGACCCTGCCACGCTGCAGTACCTTGGCTTCTCGCCTGCTTTGAAGGCATCTGACGTGAGTGATTGGGCTGGGAGGGTGCGCCTGGGTGGGTGGGTGGGAGTGGGAGTGGGGGTGGAGGGATGGGTGACAGAGAGCAGTGCTACGACCCTGCCACGCTGCAGTACCTGGGCTTCTCGCCTGCTTTGAAGGCATCTGACGTGAGTGATTGGGCTGGGAGGGTGCGCCTGGGTGGGTGGGTGGGAGTGGGAGTGGGGGTGGAGGGATGGGTGACAGAGAGCAGTGCTACGACCCTGCCACGCTGCAGTACCTGGGCTTCTCGCCTGCTTTGAAGGCATCTGACGTGAGTGATTGGGCTGGGAGGGTGCGCCTGGGTGGGTGGGTGGGAGTGGGAGTGGGGGTGGAGGGATGGGTGACAGAGAGCAGTGCTACGACCCTGCCACGCTGCAGTACCTGGGCTTCTCGCCTGCTCTCAAGGCATCTGACGTGAGTGGTTGGGTTGGGTTGGGGAGGTGGCAAAGCGCCTGGGTGGGCGGGTGGGAGTGGGAGTGTGGGTGCAGGGGTGGGCGACAGAGTGCAGTGCTACGACCCTGTCAGTTCTCGCTCGAGCCATCCTTTTAAACCCTTATATCCACTTCAGGTGAAGGAGCATGAGGCAAGGGCACGGCAGGCGCGGCAGCAGTGGGCACACAGAAGCTTCGAGCAGAGGAGGCAGTTTTCCCACATGCTTTTATCTCAATGCGACTCTCAAAGCCCCTTCTTTCCTCTGCAGGTGAATGAGCATGTGGCAAGGGCACGGCAGGCGCAGCAGCAATGGGAAGGGAGCAGCTCGCTTTGAGCAGAGGAGGCAGGTTTCCCACTCATGCTTTTATCTCCATGCAACTCCCAGGTGAATGAGCATGTGGCAAGGGCACGGCAGGCGCAGCAGCAGTGGGCGCACAGCAGCTTCGAGCAGAGGAGGCAGTTCCTGAGGGTGCTGATGCGATACGTGGTGGAAAACCAGGACCTCATATGCAGGTATGGAGTTGCCATGCTGTTGATGCTTTATGTAACACGGTTACCAGCAGTAGTAGCAGCAGCAGTAGCAGCAGCTTTGAGCAGAGGAGGCAGTTCCTGAGGGTGCTGATGCAATACGTGGTGGAAAACCAGGACCTTATATGCAGGTATGGAGTTGCCGTGCTGTTGTTGCTTTACGTAACGTGGTTACCAGCAGTAGTAGCAGCAGCAGCTTTGAGCAGAGGAGGGACGCAGTTCCTGAGAGTGCTGATGCGATACGTGGTGGAGAATCAGGGCCTCATACGCCTGTGAGGGTTACCGTGTTGCATGTTTTCCGTTCTCACATTCTTCTTCCCCCCTCCACCCACTCCCCCACCCCAATCCCCTACCCCGCCCCTCTCCCCACCCCCACCCTCCCCTCCCCTCCCCTCTCCCCCCTCCCCCCCTTTTTTTTGCTTGAATCCAACTTCCACCTTCTCTCTTTCACTCCCCACCTCTCACTGCGCACCTCTCCTGCCTTGCACATTCAAACTTCGGTCTCTCATCCCTGCCCACCTTTTATTCTCTCCAGAGTATCCGCCCGAGAGTCGGGCAAGGTGTCGGTGGATGCTGCTGTCTCTACTGCCGAATCGGTCCTCTCTCACTGCCTTCCTCTCATCTCCCACTGCCTTCCTCTCATCTCCCACTGCCTTCCTCTCATCTCCCACTGCCTTCCTCTCATCTCCCACTGCCTTCCTCTCATCTCCCACTGCCTTCCTCTCATCTCCCACTGCTTGGTCTCTCATCCCTGCCCACCTCATTCTCTCCAGAGTATCGGCGCGAGAGTCAGGCAAGGTGCTGGTGGTGCTACTGCCGAGTCTGTTTCTCCCTGCCATTCTCTCATGTCCCACTGCTTGGTCTCTCACCATGCCCACACCCCCAGAGTATCGGCCCGAGAGTCGGGCAAGGTGCTGGTGGATGCTGGGTTTGGTGAGATTCTGACGACGTGTGAGAAGATAGCGTGGCTGCTAAATGAAGGGGAGAGGTGGCTCAAACCTGAATACAGGTCAGTCCGTGCAGTCATTGCGAGTCAACGCGGTAGTCAGTGCAGTCAATGTGTGTCAATGTGAGATTCTGACGACGTGTGAAAAGATAGTGTGGCTGCTAAGCGAAGGGGAGAAGTGGCTCAAACCTGAATACAGGTCAGTCCGTGCAGTCAATGCGAGTCAACGCAGTAGTCAATGCAGTTGTCAATGTGGGTCGGGGAAGGTGCTGGTGGATGCTGGGTTTGGGGAGAGTCTGACGACGTGTGAGAAGATGCATGGCTGCTGAGTGAAGGGGAGAGGTGGCTCAAACCTGAATACAGGTCAGTCCGTGCAGTCAATGCAGTCAATGCCAGTCAATGCATTTGTCAGTCAGTGTGAGTCAAATTGAGTCAATGCAGCCAGTGTGAGTTGATGCCAGTAAGTGTGAGTCAGCGTGAGTCAGTGCAGTCACCATGCAGTCAATGCAACAACCAATGCAAGTCAATGCAAGTCAATGCGGTCAATGTGAGCGAATGTGAGTCGGGAAAGGTGCTGGTGGATGCTTGGCTGCGGTGAGAATCTCATGCCCTCCTTACCACTTTTTTTTTATTTTTTTTTTTGTTTTTTTAGCGTTCTTCCTTTCGCCTTTTGCCCACCTGTCATCTTTCACTCCTCTCAGGTCTTTGGGTCGAACCATGATGCACAAGGTGGCCAGAGTTGAGTTTGAACCAGAAGGGGTGATCGGAGCCATAATGCCGTGGAACTACCCCTTCTCAACTCTCTTTGCTGTCGCTCCCTTCTCTCTTGTTCCCATCCTCTGTTCAGGTCTGTGGTTCGAACCATGACGCACAAGGTGGCCAGAGTTGAGTTTGAACCAGCAGGGGTGATCGGAGCCATAGTGCCGTGGAACTACCACCCCTTCCGCTCGTTCCTCTCGCCTTACCCTTCTCTTCCCCCAATCCTCCTGAACCCCACTCCATCCTCTGTTCAGGTCCGTGGGTCGAACCATGATGCACAAAGTCGCTAGGGTGAAGTTTGATCCAGCAGGGGTGATCGGAGCCATAGTGCCGTGGAACTACCCCTTTCACAACGTGCTTAACCCCGTGCTGTCCGCCGTATTCGCTGGCAATGCTGCCGTTATCAAGGTGAGACAGAGTGCGGGACAGAAAGTCAAGACAGGCAGGGACAGAGGGAGAGAGGGAGAGAGGGGAGCCCCTAGGTGCAGGGGTGATCGGAGCCATAGTGCCGTGGAACTACCCGTTCCTCAACGTTCTTAACCCCGTGCTGTCTGCTGTCTTTGCTGGCAATGCTGCTGTTATCAAGGTGAGACGGAGTGAGGGACAGGCAGGGACAGGGACAGAGAAATAGGGAAACAGAGGGACAGAGAGAGAGAGAGGGACAGCAGAGAGAGAGAAGGCCTTAGCATCCAGCCCTCTCCCTCTTCCCTCTGCCCTCTCCCTCTGGTCCTATTTAAGGGGCCCTCCGTGCCTTCCCTACCTCATTATTTCGTTGGTGTTTCACATTCGGCGGAGAGAGAGCGAGAGAGAGAAGGCCTTAGCATCCAGCCCTCTCCCTCTTCCCTCTGCCCTCTCCCTCTGGTCCTATTTAAGGGGCCCTCCGTGCCTTCCCTACCTCATTATTTCGTTGGTGTTTCACATTCGGCGGCTCGCGCCGGCGGCCTTCGGCCGCCGCCGCTCGCAAGCGCGGCCTTCGGCCGCGCGTTAGGGGTGGCAAGACACAAGACGCGAGTTCGGCATATAAAGGGCATACAAACACACAAGGCAAGGGGGCAGGCAAGAGCAAGAGGCGCGGCATGCAATTCTACACGCGGCGGAGGCCTACATCGTGTACGGCTCCGCCCCCTCCACCTCAAGCATCGAGCGCATGCACGCCGATACTGCAAGAAGGAGATGCGCCGACGACTGGAGCGTGTCCAAGGGGGTCCCGGCCTGAGCAGCCCCTACAAGATCCCCCACGTGGCGGGGGAAAGTACGGGCTAAGGGAGCTACCCCGGCGGGCGCATCCGACACGGGTGCCAACGGCGACTCGAGCGATTCTGCCAAAGTCACGCAGGATCCTCGGGATCCTGGACCGAAACTGCTCGGAAGGCTCCGCGTGGCCCCACACACCGCAAGCTGCAAGTTCGCCACCACCTCGCACGCCTCCGCTAGATTCAGAATCCGGCACATGGTCAGCATGGGGTCTCTCCCCGCGCGAGTGGGGGGAGGTGCAGTCGGCGCTTCGCGCGGATACGCCGTCGGCCAGCCTGGAGTTCGGCCAACAGATAAGCGCGGCGCAGAGAAGCCGGGGACCTGACGGGGGGTGCGGAACTGAGCCCTCCCCTCTCGCGCGGGCCGATATTCGCTCAGCGTCGGCGCGCGCAGAGGAGCAACCTGGCCTGGGTCCGCGGCGAAGGGGGGACCGTTGGTCACCTCTATATGGACGTGAGTCGGCCCCCCACTCGCCCGGGCCTGCCGCACCACCTCCACAAACGTGTCTGCGGCGTGATCGAGGGCAGGATCCTGCTGGCGACCATTACCGCCACGACCTCCGCCATTCCGCCGGCCTCGCCGGCCGCCAGAACCTGCCGAGTGAGGACGCGGGGGGGACTGCTCGCGACGCCCCGAATCCCAGCGACGTCCAGGCGACCCCCTCCCCCTCGTCGCCGGAGATCGCCGCGGAGACCGTTGCGCGGGGGATCGCGCTCGGGGTGAGCGCTGGCCTACCCGACCACGAGGAGACGGGTGGCGAGGAGAACGAGGACGCCCAGGGGATCGCCGATCGCCCCCACCCCGCGGATGAGCCTCGCGATGCTCAGGAGATGGGCGCCGAGGAGAGGGCTGCCGCGGAGGCTGACGCAGAGGCGAGCGCCCGCGCTCCTGCCGCGGCTGACCGTCCGGGCGGTTCGACGCAACACGCGCAGGGGCCCACGAATACTCCGGCGAGGTGGGGCGCGGGGCAGGCCGTTGGGGAAGAGTCAGCACCCGGTCGAAGCGGCGGACGGGCTCGCTTGCGGAGGGGTGCGCAGGGACACGCGGGCGAAGACCGCCAGGCGCAGGTTCCGGCAACGCGCTCTCCGCGGATCCCTCGAGCTCCGGATCCCGTCTCGCGGATGGATCCATCACCCCCGACCGCACCGCAGCCGACGCCAGCGCGCCGACAGAACGAGGACGAGGTGGACGTGGCGCCGCAGGCAGGGCGCGTGGGAGCCGCGGAAGGGAGAGGAACGCGGGGTATCCGCGTGGGACGCGGCAGCAGCCGCCGCGGACGACGAGGGAATGGGAGGGGACGAAGAGGTGGAGGAGCGCGCGGCACAAATCGGCGCCGCACCGGCGCAAGCGGTTACGCGAGAACTGCTGAAAGGCTAATACGCGAAGGCGTGGAAGGCGGCGAGGAGGAGCACAGCGAGGAGGCAGAGGACGAAGCTGAGAATGAAGAAAGCGAAGGGGGTGACCCTGTTTTTAACCCAGAAAGAGAGGGGATGTTGGAAGGAGAAGCCGAGGACGAGGAAGAATTGGAGATGCTACTTCGGGAAGCGGAGTTTCCAAACCATCAGGCCCGGGACGAACCTGCAATTCGAACCACAGGTCGAAATCGAACCGCGGGGGGAAATCGTGCAAGGGGGGGAAATCGAGCCGCGACAGAAGACGGAATTGACTCTGCAGCAGCCAATGATAATTCTGCAGGCCCCTCCCCAACCCCACCAACGCTCAAACCTGACGACCTGGCGAAAAATACTGACCTTTTCGCTCAGGTTGCAGACTGGAACCTTGACCCGCTGCGCGACAGTCGCCAACCTCCCCTCGCTCGCCACCCCCCCAAAGACCTTCGCGACTCCTTCGCGATCTGCATGTTGACTCCGTTACTCCACCTGGCGGCCAATCCTGAGTCTCCACCAGGATGGAACTTACTGACTTTTCTCCCGCGCTTACTCCTCCGCACCTCGTCAGCCCGCAAACCTGACTGGAGCGCGATGATGAATCGGCTCCAGCGATTTCGCCAAGGCCTTTGGGGGGACCTGTACGAAGAAGCTGTCCAGGCGATCTCACTGCCACCGCAACCTCGCCACTCACCTGACACAACGGGGATACTGGCACGGGCAGAAGGACTCGCAAAACGGGGTAACCTGTCAAAATCACTCCAATCCCTCCAGGCCACTCCTGTGTCTCCCGCCTCACCTGAAGTGTTGGAAGCCCTCACGACGAGACACCCATCTGCCTGCCAACCACTTCCTGACTGGCTCCGCACCGCCACAGCGGAAGACCCACCCACTATCGAAGCTCGCGACTTCAGACGCCTCCTCGCCAAACTTCCCAACGGAGTAGGGGCCGGCCCATCTGGAACAACCTTCGAGCACATCCGCGACGCAGCCCTGGGCAACGCCGAAGTACTCACCCACCTCCTCGCCCTCACTAACACAGCTCTAGCAGGAAAACTCCCCACAGTCGCGGGGGATCTTCTAACGGCATCCCGCCTGTTAGCATTTACGAAACCACAGGGAGGGACGCGGCCGATTGCGGTGGGGGAGTGCCTCCTCCGGATAATAGCAAAAGCCGCGCTCTTCCTCACTGCGCCGGCCGCTCGTACTCACTTTGCTCCGCTTCAGTTCGGAGTCGCAGTAGCGGGAGGGATCGAAGCGGCTATCCACTCCGCTCGCACGTACCTGGAAATGCACCCAGGGGCAGTGGCGCTGCAGATTGACCTCGCGAATGCGTTCAACGCGGTCGAAAGAAGGGCGGTGTTTGAAGGACTGAAAAACGAGGAGCTGAAGGAACTGATTCCCCTCGTCCGCCTTTCCTATGGGACTCCCTCCTCGCTCTTCCTCGACCACGACTTCGGCGCAGCCCCGCTGCAGAGCGCCAGGGGTGTTCGCCAAGGAGACCCGCTCGGCCCACTCCTGTTCGCGGCTAGCATCCACCCGTGCCTCGTGGACACGGCGGCTGCACACCCTCAGGTGGTCCTGCTGGCGTACGCCGATGATATCACGCTGCTCGGCGACGCCACGGCCTGCTCTGCGGCTTTCGACCACCTCACCTCTGCTTTAGCCGCCCTCGGCCTGGTGCACAATCCGGCTAAGTGCGCGGCGTGGTCCGCCGCAGCAATCGACGCCTCCTCAGTCCCCCCAGGCGTCACTATCTCTGAGGAAGGTTTGCAGATTCTCGGCAGCCCCGTGGGCACTGCCCGAGGCTGCGCAGATGCTGTGAGAGCGAGATTGGAAGCAGCAGCAGCGCCTCTCCCCCTGCTGGCCCAGATGGACCCCCAACTTGCCCTCCTCCTCCTCACCCGCTGTGTCAGCCGCCGAGCTTCCTTCCTGGCCAGAACCACCCCCCTAGAGGCCCTCCCTGAAGCCGAATGGTCCGCTTGGGGGGAACAACTCCTTCACACCTTCCTAGACTCGGCCCACATCATGAGGCCGAGGAGCGTCAGGGAGAGACGGAGGATTTGGCGGCAGGCGGCCCTGCCAGTGACTTTGGGAGGCCTGGGCATCACTGACCCCGCCGTTGAAGGCAGCTATGCCTACCTCGCCTCAGTGAACAGCACAGCCCACCTCTTGCACTCCCTGGAGGACTCGTTGCACCCCGCTGTCGCCGCGCTCCTCCCCCTTTTGGATCCAACCCACGGCTCCCCACACGCGCTACCTGCACGTTTCGCCGCGGCTGAGGAGAGGAGTACCGCCAGCGCTGGAGCGTGTGCCTCCAGCGGGCGCAGGCCAACGCCCTCCGCACCAAGACCAACGAGGCCTTGGCGGCGGACGAGCTCGGCTTTAGAGGACCCATCATCCCTCTCAGTGAGGGACAGCTGCACCAGTTGATTGAGGCCCCGTTCGACCAGTAGGGTCGGACAGAGGGGGGGGGGGCTGAGTAGGTAGGAGACTTGAGGTAGTTTCGATCTCGGTTTGGATGTTTGTTGTGCTTGTGTGTTCTGCATCTTCCTTTGTACCACCCCTCATGGTAATGCAAGGACCATTCGAGAGAGGGACAAAGAGGGGAGCCATAGTGCCATAGTGCTGTGGAACTACCCCTTTCACAATGTGCTCAACCCCGTGCTGTCTGCCGTGTTTGCTGGGAATGCTGCTGTGATCAAGGTGAGACAGAGTGAGGGACAGAGAGTCAAGACCGACAGGGACAGAGGGAGAGAGGGAGAGATAGGAGCCCCTAGGTACAGGGGTGATCGGAGCCATAGTGCCGTGGAAGTACCCCTTTCACAACGTGCCCAACCCCGTGCTGTCCGCTGTATTTGCCGGCAATGCTGCCGTGATTAAGGTGAGATGGGGGGAGGAGAGGGGGAGACAGTGGGAGAGACAAGACTGATAGTGGGAGAGACAAGACTGATAGTGGGAGAGACAAGACTGATATCAGAGCATGCGAGCTGGGGCGCGCACTACTATCTGGACATCATCCGCTCAGCGTTCGCTCAAGACTGTTGAAAAGTGCGCCACAACCCCCCAACCCCCCTCCTCCTTCCGCTCGCAGATATCAGAGCATGCGAGCTGGGGCGCGCACTACTACCTGGACATCATCCACACAGCTCTCAGGGCTGTTGAGGAGCGCTAGAGGGGCTAGGGATAACTGCAGGGAAGACCACCCTTTGTTCCTTGCTGGTGCACCTTACTGCCTCTCCTCGCAGGTATCAGAGCATGCGAGCTGGGGCGCACACTACTACCTGGATATCATTCGCTCGGCGCTCAAGGCTGTTGGGGGCCCGCCTGAGTTGGTTCATGTGATCACTGGGTGAGTGAGTGCGTGCGTGCACGGGGGGGTGCGGCATGTCAGTGATAGTGTTGGAGTCAACTCAGGCAGCTCCCTCCTTTCTCAGGTGACTCCCTTCCTTCTCAGGTGACTCCCTTCCCTCCCTGCAGCCCAGGAAGAGAGCTCTCAAGGCTGTTGGTGGCCCTCCAGAGCTCGTGCATGTGATCACTGGGTGAGTGTGTGAGTGCATGCACGGGGCGGTGCGGCATGTCAGTGATAGTGTTGGAGTCAACTCAGGCAGCTCCCTCCTTTCTCAGGTGACTCCCTTCCTTCTCAGGTGACTCCCTTCCCTCCCTACAGCCCAGGAAGAGAGCTCTCAAGGCTGTTGGTGGCCCTCCAGAGCTCGACAGACCTCCACGGTGCTGGAGCTGGGAGGTAAAGACGCCTTCATCGTGTGTGACGATGCGGACTTGAAGCAGGTAGGGAGCAGTTGAAGCGAGGTGAACTAGTCACACCCTGACTTGATTGTTGAGGTCGGGAATTTGACCATCATGGTGCTGGGGCTGGGGAGGAGGCCAGGACGCATGCATCAGAGTATATGTGAGAATTCTCTCAAGACTCACATTGCCGTGATAGAGAATACTCTTTATCACGGTGCTGGGGCTGGGGAGGAGGCCAGGACGCATGCATCAGCTCTCGCCAACTTGAAGGCCTGAAGCTGTCAATGATGCGACCTTTTGAGGCGTTTGAAAAAAGGGACCTGAAGCAGGTAAGGGCGCCGTCTCCATTGGTTAGGCAGTTTCTTGCACTGCTTGAGAGATTCTGGGAAGTTGAATAGTTTCTTTCCTTTTGTTGCTTAAGCAATTCTTCAAGGTTTGCAGCTATTTGGCTATGAAGCTGGATTCGGGTAAGGACGCCGCCTCCATTGGTCCTTACCATGGTTTGACTTGGTCCCACTCCCAGCATTGCGACACCTCGGAAATTCACTGCCTCTCTCCCATTTCCATTCCTGTCCCCATTGCCCTGAGGGCAGTCTGCCAGTGCAGCGCGCACAAGTGCATTGGGGTGGAGTATAATAGGAATCCCACCTTCCCCCACTCCCGCCTTTTTCCCCCATCTATTCTGTCATCTCAGGTTGTTCCCATAGCCCTGAGGGCTGTCTTTCAGTGCAGCAGCGGGCAGAACTGCGGTGGGGCGGAGCGGTTCAATGTGAGGGAACCTGTGGGGCAGAGCGGTTCCCTGTGGGGCAGAGCGGTTCCCTGTGGGGCAGAGCGGTTCCCTGTGGGGCAGAGCGGTTCCCTGTGCTGCATGCTTAATAATTAATTCCTTCTCATCTCCCCCATAATCCCCGCTCGCAGGTCGTCCCCATCGCTCTGAGGGCTGTCTTTCAGTGCAGCGGGCAGAACTGCATTGGGGCGGAGCGGTTCTTTGTGCAGGCCGGCATCTACGACCAGTTTGTGGGGGAGGTGGTATCTGTGGCGCAGCAGATGCGACTGGTAGGTGGCATACTAGTAGCAGCAGCTGTTTTGTCGTTTTGTGGGGGAGGTTTTATCTGTGGGGTGGAGAAGCGGACGAGACTTTCATTGTGAGGGATATATAATGGATGTGGAAATGCTGGTAGTATCCGTGATGCGCCAGTTTGTGGGGGAAGGTAGTATCTGTGGCGTAGAGATGAGACTGGCAGGTGGTGGTACCTTGGCAGCAGACGATTTTTGTGGGGAAGGTGGTATCTGTTGCATAGAGCAGGAGATGAGACTGGTAGGTGTTATTGATTCGCTGGATGATGGAAGTTTGGGGGTGTAATGGTAAGCGCCTGTCTGATTCGCACACACACAAAGCCTGACACTGATTTTCAGAATACACCTATAATGAAAGGCGCCCGTGATAAGTGCACAGGGTACCTGACATAGGCGTAACTCGTGTGTTTTTTGAGAATTCTCAAAAAACATAAGTGCACAGGGTACCTGACATAGGCGTAACTCTATAACCGACATTTGAGTCGACCCATCTTGTCAACGGTCCTCAACAATCCTCTTTTTTCCCCCCTCTCCTCCCTCCCTCTCTACCCCCCTTGTCGTCCATGTCCCAGGGTTACCCTTTGGCGGATGAACTGGAGGGAGATGAGCAAGATGGGATGAATGGAGGAAGGGAAAAGGCAACTGCTCCTGCTTCCCAGCAGGAAGGTGTGGGAGATGGAGAATTGGGAAAAGTGGCAAGAGGTGGGAATGAAGGTAGTGGGACACATCAGGAAAAGGGAGAGAGAGGAGGGAACAGTGGTGGTGCGGTTGGAGGGAGGGTGCAAGCGGGGGAGAGAGGGGGAGGGATGGGGGGAGAGTCCAGATCCACGTCAGCAGGAGCGGTTGCTGACATGGGCGCGATCTGCATGCCACATCATGTGCAGCGGCTTCAGCGATTGGTGGATGAGGCGGTGGGGCAGGGGGCACGGGTGGTGGTTGGGGGGAAGATACCTCTGGGAAGCTGTGAAGACCTCAGCTTCAGCCCCAGAGGGAGTGAGGCTGGAAGAGAGGGTTTGGGAGAAGCAGCAACAGCAGCAGCGGGAACGGCAGGAGCAGCAGGAGCAGCAGCAGCAGCGGGAACGGCAACAGCAGCAGCGGCGGCAGCAACAGCTTCTGAAGGAGCCCTCCCCTTTGGTTCTTCTTCCTCCGGCCGCCCGTCCCTAGGAGGCCAGTTCTACCCCCCCACCGTACTCGTTAATGTGCGCCCCACTATGCGCATACTGCACGAGGAAGTGTTCGGCCCTATAATGTGCATCGTAAAATTTGAAAATGACCAAGAGGTGGTGGCAGCTGCAAATGACTGCCCGTTTGGGCTCGGGTGTTCGGTGTTCTCGGGGGATAGGAGGCGGGCTGCTGCGATTGGGGCGGCAGTGCAGTGTGGGATGGTGGCGATTAATGACTTTGGATGCACCTACATGTGCCAGGTAACAAGTTCGTCATGTTTTTAGATGCGCAAAACAGGTATCCATCTGTCATGCATTGCTCCTACGTATGTGCCTGCTATCGTCTTTCAGTCAGGTACCACCACATCACACTTCCACTCTCTCTCCTCTCTCGTTTTATTTCACTCTTCTAATCCCATCACTGTGCCACCCCTCCTCTCCTGTCCATTTCGCCGTTGAACCTCCGTCTCCCTCTCTGCAAACCCAATCAGTCACTGCCATTTGGCGGAGTGAAGGAGAGTGGTTTCGGCCGGTTTGCAGGGGTGGAAGGGCTGAGAGGGTGCTGTAACGAGAAGGCTATTGTGGAGGACAGGTTTTACTCACTCATCAAGACCAACATCCCTCCGCCTCTCCAGGTACGTGCTGCACTTGCTCTCCAGCCTTTTGACCCTGCATGAGTCGAATGCTCCACACTACCCTATTGTGGGGGACAGATTCTACTCTCATCAAGACCAACATTCCTCTGCCTCTCCAGGTATATGCTATGCTCTATGCTTGTTGTACAACTTCTGAGGTGGGTGCTCCAGGCTACCCTATTGTGGAGGACAGGTTTTACTCACTCATCAAGACCAACATCCCTCCGCCTCTCCAAGTATGTGCTGCCCTTGCTCTAGCCTCTCCATCTCTCTGCTTCCCAGGATTCTTTGAAAAATCTCAATAATTGTCGTAAGCACAGTACCCTCTAGCCCCCAACGCAGTGCCAGCAGGCTCTGGTGCGCATGTTCTTCGCCCACACCCTGCTAGCCCAGCTCTCTGTAGTATCCTGATCCGTCTCACTGTGTTGTTCCTCTTATACTTCCCGCCCTCTCTCCCTTCACGTCCTTCCCCACACACACAGTACCCCCTGGCACCCAACGCAGTGCCAATCCAGCAGGCGCTGGTGCGCATGTTCTTCGCCCACACCCTGCTAGCCCAGCTCTCTGGTCTCTTCCACCCTTTTGCCCTGTCTTCCCTTTCCCCAAACACCCCTCAACTCTCCCTCCTCCCTCCCCCCCCTCCCCTCCTCGTCCCCCCTCTCCTCCCCCCTCCCACATGCACAGTACCCCCTGGCCCCCAATGCAGTGCCATTCCAGCAAGCGCTGGTGCGCATGTTCTTTTCCCACACCCTGCTGGCGCAGCTCTCATCTTAATCAGCCCTTTGCCTTGTCCCTCTCCCTGCTCAAACCTCCCACCCCCCCCTGCCCCTGCACAGTACCCCCTTGCACCCAACGCAGTACCATTCCAGCAGGCTCTGGTGCGCATGTTCTTCGCCCACACCCTGCTGGCGCAGCTCTCTGGACTCTTCCACCTGCTGCTGGAGCTCATGCGCTCACCCAAGAGGACAAACACACAGCAACGCCCAAGCTCGGCCGCCCATGTTGCTGGTGCTGGTGCTACGACTTCTGCTGCACGGCGCAATTCAGGTGTAGGTGCGTCAGGTGGTGAGAGGCCACATAATGAGTAGAAAATGCTGTTTCGTAGGACAAGGTACATCTGTTGCACTTCTTAGTGTTGGACAAGCTGCAGTCAGCATCCTGTGGCCGTAACAGAAACAGTTGGGAATTTTTGTAGGCCAGAGATTGTAACAAATTCTGTTTCAGGGCCCTTGAAGTGCGGCATTCTCAGGCTTGTGTCAGGCTTTCTGAAGTCAGCAGCAAAAAAAAAAAATTCCACATCAATTGCTGTTGACACCAAGCCATGTTGCCAAACACAAGAACTGAGCCTTATCACCAGGCCGTCTGAGATTGGGTGCAATCCTGGAGGAATGTAGCCAATTCTGGTTCTGGAGGTTGGCAGGCTGACAAGTTGTTGACTGACTTATTTTTAATACAGTAAGTATATTCTAGAGTACACCATGCCTCCTTACTTCTTCTGCAGAGAGGCAAGCAGCTGGCCAGCACCGAAAGCAGCAGCTCCGCCAAACGCACACAACAACGAAACCACAACCTGAGCGACAATCAAGCCAGTGCTGTCATCAGGAACGAAGTACACGAAAGCAGGGCCAGCGAGAAGCAGGAGGAAGGCGATGGCTTGAAGAGTGCCAGGAGTGGACCGGTCAGTGGCAGCAGAAAGGATACCAAACTCCTCAGCCTTGGAGAGAAGGCCGAGCTCCTCAATGGCTGTCAATGAGAGGCCGAAGGACTCTGCGAGTGAGAGGAGGCCTGCTTGCTCGGCCTTGGAGAGCAACCGGAGATCCTCCACGCGTGAAAGGAGGCGGATTTCTGGGTCCGAGCCTACGACCTTGCCGCGAACGCCGCCAGTCTTGTCCTCGCCGAAGAGCTCAACGACCTTGACCTGCAGGTAGGAGGGAAGGGTTAACTTGGGACGTAGAAATGAGAGGTGCTCCAAAGCTCTGGGTGAAGATTGCTGAGGTACCTTAGTTACTATCTTGACATTGCCTTTTCACTAGCACGCAACGCCGCAGGTGGAGCCGTTAGTTCTTGACTGTGGTAAATATATCTCTTTTACTCGGCGTATCAATTGCGACTCGATCTGAAAGTAGCGCGGAACGTCTAACAGTGAAAGATGTTACGGCTCTGTGTTTAATCAGGCACGTTACCCGGCTGTATCTCCTGAACTGATATCAACGTCGCGACCTCTAATTGGGAAAAAGCTAATGAGCACATGGTGAGGAGAGGACTGACGAGTGGTGCCTCATCAAAGCAGGGTAAGACGGCGGGGTAACGAGAGGGAAAAACCAGGAATATGATAAAACAGTGTCAGTGAAGACGTATGGACTGTGTAGCATGCACATAAGATGCAGAAAATGCATTTCAGGGGATAAGACATGGATGAGTTCGGTTTTCTTCAATAATCCAGTGCAGAAGGCAATCAATGGAGGAGATAAAAGACCAAATGAAGGAGTCGTACATTTCTCAAGATCTTGGTCCCAGCGCGAACTGTAAGGTTTCTCCTAGCCGGAGCTGCCTCGAGCTTCGGAAGGCCAACAGCGACAGGGGCCGCGAGGAAAGAGCTGCGGAGGACGGCAGAAGCCATTGTGAGCTTGTTCTGAATAATCTCTAAGAACGTCAAGTGACTATCAGAGCGTTAGTCAGAACAAGTCTCAATGGTGTCAGTCAATGATCAAGAATTAATCCTGAGACTGTTGGAAGTGAGTGATAAGAAATTGCTATTTTCCTCCGCTGTGCCATCGAAGTCAGTTGGGGGAGACTGCTGTGCTGACCTCTCTCGATGGAAAGCTCAGGAGGTTTGGGGTTGCTTTGAGGTCTGGCATGCCTAACCACCAGTGAAACATGGCTTGGGCAGGTACGGTTAGAGCTTAAAGCCGGCGGCCCAAATTGTTCATGCTTTTAAAAGTTGACCAGAGGGAGTTTTTCTGGTGTGGGCTTTGGCGAGAGTTTCCGATTTCGTCTAGGTTCGTTTTTTTCGCGAGACCCAGCCAACCCTCGGTTTTCCCCCTGGTGAGTGAATCTGTCTTCGAAAGTCCCAAATTGCAAGTGCGTGACTTTCAAAAGCTTGGACACTCAACTTCGTCAAGTTTTAAAAACTTGACCCTCGCGGCCCGCAATTTGGGACGCGGGCTTTAACCTTCATTTTTCACGCTTCACCCAGACATCTTGAGGCTGATAACGGCTGACAAGGCCAACGAATCGGCTTGATAGTAGGTTTGGAAATTCGCCAGGAACTAGCTAGGGGAAAATTGGTGGGAGGTATTCCGCGGGGAAGGGAGGGGGGAGCCTCATGGTGAGGAAATGTCGACGTGGCAAAAGAGAACTGGGCATTGCGTGGTTGCCGCTAGTTCTGGATTGCTGGGCATCTGCTGGAGTGGCACAGAAAGTCGCAGCGCGCCTGGGATCAGGCCCTCCGCTGCAATTGGTGTTTCCAGGATGCCGATGTGAGCCACCTTTCATCGCGTGACAAGTGTGTGAGGTGCTTGTACTCTTTCGGAGGTGCTTCCTTATTAGTTTTAGAACCTGAGTGAAAGTGAAAATGAACACCACAGTAATCTAGTAGTCATGGCGGTGTCCTACAACACCAACACCACAACATCCTTGCTTGGTGCTGGTACAAACAAGGCCATTCCATCGACACCAAGGAGGATAGGATGTAAAAACAACGCAAAAGCTTTCCAAAACATGTACATCAACGATTAGCTTTAATTATTTGACTAGCTACCTTATAATGAATAACCTCTAGAGCCTAGTACCCCAAAGTATCCCGCAGAGACATTAGAGCACTGACTGAAGAGGGGGAAAACTTGCGTGCAAACAGAAAACACGGGGCCCGCTGTCCAGCAACTCTGCATGGACCAGGAAAGGCGACATCTAAAAGGCCGACATTCTCTGACACTGCAAAATGACGCCTTTGCATCCTCTCTATCAAAGCCGCCGTCACACTGCTCCCAGAATACATTAATGGGTGCTCAGCCTTGTAATGTGGCCAATCCACATGCATGACTGAGTGAGGTTCTATGCCTCTACGATCATATCCCCAGACCACTGTCTGAATGTAGCCCTCATCAGGATATTCCCCTCTGCCCCTGCCGAAGGTCACATAGTACTTCATATCTTCCACCACTAACGCTGCATGCGGGCGTGTCAGCACGAACCACTGAGAACCTTTTCTAATCTGCCATGGATGGATAACCTGGCGTGGCATGAATATCCAGAAATATCGTGGAAACCTCCACCAGCGAAGCACTGGAAGGACTGCCAGGAAGCTTCTATCCTCTGCGAAGAGGTACTCGTAAATGAAATCAAAACTCCGGATGGAAATGCAGGCCTCTGACAGCAGCACGAACCGCTGATTGACTGGATTCTCGAGCCCTGCTGCAAGAAGCCGCCTGGTAGCTTGAATCATCGACGGCATCCCCCTTACAATCCTCAATCCTGGAATCTGGGTTCCCCAGAATACACTGCCTTTCCCAACATGTGCATTCACGTCCCAGCCCTCTGTCGCTGCATGGACATAAATTGAGGCACGGTCCATGTTCCCACGGAAAAACTCCTCCCAGAGAGGCTGAAAGGGAAGAGGCCCTCGAGTGAGGAACAAGAAGGCGATTTTAGGCAGCGTCCCGTTAGGCAGGAGGTTTGATGGTGTAAATGTAGCCGAATGCTGCTTCGTCTCAATCACAGCTGCAACCGTCCTATTATTGGCATTTCCCTTTCTCTCCAAGGCTTGAATCGACAGCTGGCTGAGGTGTGAATGGTCCTCATAATCCTCCTCCTCCTCTTCTCCACCCTCCGTACCCCCTATCTGATGGTGTTGAAGCCGTAGAGATGCCGGTAACTCGGTGATAGGAACCAGTTGATTGACAGGCGGTACGAATTGCCGCTCTGTCTCCATGGCTCGCTGAATCAGCATGCTGTCCGCTTCATCGAAGAATGTGTACGAGAACCAATAAGCGGTGAACAGCTGCCAGAACCCCACAGCCGCGAAACAGTAGAAAATTGCTCCGAAAATGAACAGGCACCTGGTGCATGGCGGTGTCGTTGCGACAAGAATACGGAGTTTTGAGATGTAAGCTCCTGAAACAGGAGATTGATGTGGAGATGACATTTGATCCGAAGACCCTGCTCGGTGTCTGCTATACCGGCCTCCTCGCCTGACTCTACCCGGACCTTGACGACTGATAAGCTTTTCGTGACCGTGCGATCTAGTCGATTGGTCTTGCTGCTGCTGCTGATGCGGATGCTGCTGATGTGGATGATGGTGACGTATATCTACGAACGAATCACGCTCGTTCCCCGTCGTTATTCTGTCTTGATTGAATGTAGACTGCGAAGGTTCTAACTCGTACGGTTGGCGTCGGTGTGAAAAGTCGCTGTTTGCTGCAGGGACCAGAACGGCCGCTTCAATTGACTGCCCTGCCTGGGCTTCTTGATCAAATAAGGTAGTTCCTAGTCGTCGCTTCTCTGCCATCCGGGAAGTAGAGTCAGAAACGCCAATTCAGCTAGAACTTCTCCAATCACGACGCAGAAAACCGTCCCAAGGACCCCTGAGCTTCTGAATATATTAAACTTCATGGAATTGGCCGACAACCAGGCACTTGAGAGCAACTATTTTGAAGACTTCGAAGGAAAAACTAGCCTGTCCAGAGCGGAAGATACGAACTAGAGGTTGGGTTTCATGGGGGTACCACTGCCGGGCAGCCTGGTAAGGAGGGTTCTACTGTACCGTGCCGTGAAATCAAACGTATGAGAATCTTGGGCGGGTTTGAGCGAGACAGTACCCTTGATGGCAACGAACATAAAGCATTTGTTACAGACGAATTGGCGACCTCATCCATTCGTCGTCACGACACCGTAACCAGCAATGACCGTTTGAGAGGAGGGAGCCTCTCCCCTTCGCGGAAATATGCGCTCGCAGCAGGACAACCACCCCCTTTACCAAAAACAGGCTAACGAAACAAAGCAGCAATATTTCGTCTTCGTGAACCATGGCCCTTCAGTTTGGCAGGACTCTCACCCTAAAGCCCAAATTGTCCATGCCCGTCCTAAACTTATCTCAGTGGATAAGTTCAGGGGATTCAGGCTTGCAGTAGGGCTTTCTCTTTCTCCTTTCCTGCTACCTGTTTACAAGAAATTAGTCATATTTTCGGTGACCTATGGAGTCGGAACCAGCCAAACGGTTCAAATCAGGTGACCCACAGGCGCCAGCGTCCTCTGATGATTTCGAGTGTCGCCGATATTTGACACCTGAAGGTTGCCCTTTCGGCGACAGATGCCGTTATCGCCATGGTGCTGAGGGTATGGATGTCTTTGATGTTTTCCGCATGACATTGGTCTTCTTAGCCTAATAGGTGCTAAATCGTGCCTTCCTGCTTTGGATGGTGATAATACAACATTTCAGATTCAAGGGATTTGTTCCCCGACTCGAAGGCGAAGCCTTGCACGAAATTCTTCAGGTGATTTTCTGTTGAACCGATTATTATACACAACCACGCGCTTTGTGTCCTCGCTATATGAGCTTAACTTACATTGTTTCCCTGCTTCATTTTACAGCACTTCAGGCTGTCCATACGGCGAAGAATGCCATTTCCAACATTACGTCCCTGGCGGTATATCAGCGCTCGGGATTTCACCAAGACCCATGCCTCCTGGAATACCCGGATCCGGAGGCCCTTGGCCACCTGCCGGAAGCCCTATGGGAAGAGGACCAGGTTCAGGCAGGCTCGGAGGAGTACACGACGGAGACGCTTCCAAGATCTGCAGACGTTTTACGACACTAGGTGGATGCCGTTTTGGTGACCGTTGTCATTTCTCGCATGTAGAGCCTGATGCGATGGCCAGATCCCGTCCTCCTGGCCCAGGTATGGGTGGTCCAGGAGGGAGAGATTTTCTGCCTGGCGACGGATACGGATCGGACTCCAGATATGGTGGTGGCTAATGGGAAGGACCTGGTGGGTATAAAGGAGGGGGTGGTTTACCCGTGGAGCCGGTATCTCCTGGGAGAGGCGGAGGAGGTCCCATGGGACCCGCATCTGATTTCGGATCTACAACAAGTGCGAAGATCCCCATCGACGCTTCGCTCGTCGGTGCTATAATAGGGAAAGCCGGTTCTGTAATTAAGCAGATCCAGAGGCAGTCAGGAGCGAGGGTAGCTGTTCGGGACCATGAATCGGACACCAATCTTAGGAATGTCGAAATGGAAGGATCGCTTGAGCAGATTGAGTACGCGACAAGAATGGTTCGACAGCATTTGGCGGAGAGAGCTAATCAAGGCCCAGGAGGAGGTGGGGGTGGATTTGGCTCTGGTCCCCCGCGTGGGGGTGGTGGAGGAAGGGGACCTTCCAGCCTTGGTCCGCACAATTACAAGACAAGGATGTGCGAGAAGCTTGAGGCTGGGACCTGCACTTTCGGGTCTCGCTGCCACTTCGCTCATAACCCTGATGAGCTTCGATCTGCTCCTTCAGGAGATTAAAAAAGGTGAGATTTCATCTGGTAAGTTGTCAATTTAACTGTTATGCATCAGTAGGATGTCATGTGTCTGTTCTGGAAATTCACAATTTTGGCAACATGACGCAAGAAGGTGATTTCTGCAATTTCTCACATGCATTTGAAGAAATCATTTTTCACAAAGGGCCTGCTAACATTACTGGGCGATGCGTTTAACACATCAAATTTGTGACTTGCGGTGACGGATCAAGGGCGTACAATATTCAATCCAGAACAATTTAACAGACGAATAGTGTTCTGGATGAATCAGCAGTTTCTTGCAATTCATGAATGACGTCACTCAAGAAAGCTTCTGCAAGAATTCAGAATAAATGGCAAAATCCAAGCCGGAGCAGAACCAGGACATCGTATCGTACTGTAACACCGTAGAAGGACAGGGAATGTACTCGAGCAGGCTTAGCAACCAACAAGCCAGCTGAACGAAAGTGTGATTTGCATTTAGGTTTTCCAACGAAGTACTTTAATAGCGGGCGGCAACATTAGGGTGTTAAATGCTGGCTAGAATTTCAAATTTGGCAGTCCAAGTGAATGGCTGGGCTTTTTAGCCTAAGCTGGTGTGGGAAGTGAACCTCTGATTACGGAGTTGCTGGGCTGACCTGTGCGAGATCAATAGTCGTACCAGTTGCACGATTCTAGGGTCTGGGCAGCTGGAAACCTGAGGGGAAGCAACTTTTTTTTCTCTAATCATGTGTGCTGAAATCTTTGTTTTTCCTCTTTTCGAAGCATTAGAATGTGGTTGCAAAGTGTTGTAGTTGCTTGTGAACAATATGTTGCCTAACTGGTTCATTTTGTGAGAAAGATCTCCAGAAAGACCTCATTTTCTGGCAATATTTGTCAAACCGGTACTACATTCTCACGGTATTTGTCTGTAAGCATGCATGGCTTCTGCGCTGTTTGGTGGGAAGGTGGTATGCATAGTTCCTGGCTCTTACATGGACGGAAGTCTTATCTAGCCCAATGAACGAATTGACAGGAGGAGAACCAGGGGTGGGATGCACTTGCTTGCATTGCTCTTGATGCCACGGCCTAGAAAACATGCAGAGTTGCACCAGTCACATCAGGATCAAGAGGTGCATGCATGCAGGACCCACCACCATCAGCATACTACACACCACGTGACCATGCCCTGCCCAGCAAGTTACGGTACATGCAGCAACAGTCATCCCCTCCCCAGACCAGCTACCACACATGCAGCTACATCCCACACTAGCACAGACACCTCCTGCTTCTCTCCTTCCGTGTCGTTCCCTGTTCCTGCTGGTTCAATACACTTGGCACCTGCACAGCACATCTGCAGGATAAAACTTCGTGCTGTCTGAGCTTAAGGCCAGTGACCATATTCTTTCCACCAGATCCTATATACCCTTTTAGGTTTAGCTCTGCGACAAAAATTATCTAAAATCGAAATTAATTTGAAAGGGTTATTAGACTGTAACAAGGACATCATCAAACTGCAGCCTGGATGGATGTCATAACTTGAAGCTAGGCACTTGTGCCTCAGTGCACCAGGCCTCGCGAAGCTGTACTCACAGCCCCACTCCTCACAGCCGCAATAGCTTAGTCCACATGCACATGCATGTTGATCAGCCTTTCGTACAACCCAGGCCCTCCCAAGATTACTGTATCCATTCCTTTCACCCATATCTTCAATTCAATTAAACATCACTTCTCATGCTACATCATCCACGCAACTTCCGAACTGGAGGTGACATTGTCGCCAGTAGTGGGCATGCACTAGACACATCCTTCAAGCCAGTAGCCATTCACACTAGTCCTCCAACCGTCTGCGCGAGTTGCGGAGTTGGCAGGACCTCTTGTTCTTCCAACTTCCTACTTTGAACACTCGCTTTCCTGCTTTCAACTTCCAGCTTTCAGCCGCAGCTTCATCCTGCGTCACCGGGCCTATCCTACCATTCTCCAGCTTCACCCAGTTTCATCTCCAGCTTCACCCAGTTTCATCTCCAGCTTCACCCTGTTTCATCTCCAAGTTCACCAGTTTCATCTCCAGCTTCAGCCAGTTTCATCTCCAGCTTCACCCTGTTTCATCTCCAGGTTCACCAGTCTCATCTCCAGCTTCACCCAGATTTCCCCCCACAGCACTGAATCAGCTGCAGGGTTGGTTCGAGTTAACCAACACGTTGGGTGATTCCACCCCACTGCCCTCTAACACCCATATAATCTGCCTCTTCCTAAGAATAAGTAGGAAGAAACCTTCATCACGGCTAATCTCTCGCAAGCAACCCACGCGCGAAGCCTCTCTTCGAAACCTTCAGCTCCACCTGATTCCGCTTCCACCCGCTGTCCATCTGAGGCTCCTCCCTCGGTTTGTTTGAGATTAGTTTTGAGAATTCTCAAAACTAATCTCGTACAAATGCAGCAGGTCGAATGAACCACTACCATCCACGCCCACGGCCTCTTCTACTCATTTTTTTAGGCGCCTCAAAGAAACATTTGTGAGGCGCCTCAAGAATGCAGCAGGTCGAATCAACCACTACCATCCACGCCCACGGCCTCTTCTATTCAGTTACAAGATGACGCACCCACACCCGCTCGCCTCTTTCTTTGGCTCCACCTGAATCTTCTTCCATCCGCTGTCCATTTGAGGCTCCTCCCTCGGCCCATGCCGCGACGCTACCCCATCCTGTGAGCTGTCGTTCCCCGCTCCACCCCCCCCTCCTCCTCCCCCTGTCGGCCCAGAGCCAGGTGGCGCCGCGCCATTCGTCGGCTTCCCCCCCGGGCCAAGAGGTGGCTTGCCGCTGGTGTCCGGTCCGGGAACAGGCACGATCATATCGTCAACCCTGGAGAAGGGGAGTAGAGAAAGTAGGGTGGGTGGGTGGGAATGGGGAGTGTTGGTGGTGGGAGAATAGACAAAACTTGCCGCTGGCGTCCAGTCCGGGAACAGGCACGATCATATCATCAACCCTGGAACAAGAAAAAGAGAAAAGGAGGGAGATGGAGAGAAGACGAGGGAGGTGGAGAGCAGGGTGGGGGGGTGGGGGATACAAGGCGGGACGGGACGGGGGTTGAGGGGGTTGGGAGTTGTTGGTGGGGGGAAGTGTTTTTTTGGGCACCTGCATTACAAGTTTCGAGCAGCACTTTTTGAGGCGCCTAGAAAAAAAGAAGAAGAAGAAGCAACAATCACGTCAAAGTCCGGCCGCTTAAGCCCCAGAGTCGTTTCCCCCATGCTCGTACCCCAAGCCACTGGCCACCCCCACCTTCTTCTCTTCCCAGCCTCTCCACTCCCCCACACCCCGGCCAACTCACTTGTTGCGGCTCCTCCCGTCCCCGATTCTCTCCAGATAAGCCGCAATTTCATCAAAGTCGGGCCTTTTTTCTGGGTCCCTGTCCCAGCAGCGCGTGATGAGCTTCGTGATCTGACTGGGGCAGTCCTTGGTGGGAGGCCGGAGGTTCTGTTGGGGAGAGGGGGGAGAGGAAGAGGGAAGTTGACGTGTTAATCAACTCAGCAACCCAACAGTCCCAGCAGCGCGTGACGAGCTTCGTGATCTGGCTGGGGCAGTCCTTGGTGGGAGGCCGGAGGTTCTGTGTGGGGAGGAAGCAGTGGGGCTTGAGGGGAGTGGGAGGGGTACATGGGGTTGGTCGAGGTGGGTGGACATATGAACTCTCAGCAACCCAACAGCCCCAGCAGCGCGTGACGAGCTTCGTGATCTGGCTGGGGCAGTCCTTTGTTGGGGGTCGGAGGTTCTGTTGGGGAGATGAGAGGGGGGAATGGGGGAGAGCGGAATGTGGGGGAAAGGTTAGGGTGGGGTTTCGAGCTCAGGAGGCAACAGTCCCAGCAGCGCGAGATGAGCTTCGTGATCTGACTGGGGCAGTCCTTTGTGGGAGGCCGGAGGTTCTGTTGGAAGGGAAGCAGTGAAACGTAGGGAGGATTGGGAGGGTGTGGGTGGGAGGTGGGGTGGGGGAGGAAGGGAGGGGAGCAGAGGGGAGAAAGGAGCTTAACTTGGCTGGAAATGTGACAGTCCTTTGTTGGGGGAACGGAGGTTCTGTGGGGAGCGAGAAGGGGAGGAGGACGGGAAGATGGGGAAGTGTGGGTGGCTCAGTCAGCACACATTCACACACACACACACATGCGCGCACGCGCACGCCACACACTTACACCCCACACTTACACCACACACACACAAGAACATTCACACAACCACACACCATATGTCCAAACCAAATCACGTCTGCAACAATGGCGTGTGCGAGTTGCACAAAGGAGAGCCCTTCAAAGGGCCATTGGGCCGTGCAGATCTCCCACAGCAGCAAGTTGCTATACAACCAGAACACCCAAGGTCTCACACATTCACACCCGCACCGCACACACACACCCCCAAGCCAACTCACGTCTGCGACGATGGCGTGTGCGAGTTGCACAAAGGAGAGCCCCTCAAAGGGCCATTGGGCCGTGCAGATCTCCCACAGCACGATGCCATAGCTGTACACGTCGACTTTACGAGTGTAGGGCTGGTGGTCGATCATCTGGTGGGGTGGTGAACAGGTTGCAGGAAAAGGTAAGGGAATTTAGACGGAGAATCTCAGCACCCAGAGCACGATGCCGTAGCGGGACACGTCCACCTTGCGCGTGTACGGCTTGTGGTCGATCATCTGACGTGGGAACGGGGAAAGGGATGGGGGATTCATGTGCATTAGCAAACCAGGTGTGAAATGTGGATCTCCCACTCCTCAAGGGCCCTTCTATCTCCTCTCCCACAGCACGATGCCGTAGCGGTACACGTCCACCTTGCGCGTGTACGGTTTATGGTCGATTATCTGACGTGGGGAGAGGGGCGCGGGTGCAAAGGGAGTAGAAGATTTAGGGTGTCACATCACAGTAACAGTCCTCTCCTCTCAGCTCCCACAGCACGATGCCGTAGCGGTACACGTCCACCTTGCGCGTGTACGGCTGGTAGTCGATCATCTGGTGCAGGGGAACGGGGAGACGGGGGAATGAGTCTCTACTATACGCCAAGAACCCTCTCCTCTCCCACAGCACGATGCCGTAGCGGTACACGTCCACCTTGCGCGTGTACGGCTGGTAGTCGATCATCTGGGGTAGGGAGGTTGAACAGGGATTGGGAGTGCATGTGCGTGCATTTCGAGATCAGATGTGAAACACGAATTTCTCGCTTCTCAAAGGGTTGAACCTTGGCCCTCTCGTCTGCAAGGGGTGTGTGGTGTGTGTGTGTGTGTGTGTGTGTGTGTGTGTGTGTGTGTGTGTGTGTGTGTGTGTGTGTGTGTGTGTGTGTGTGTGTGTGTGTGTGTGTGTGTGTGTGTGTGTGAGGGGGGGGTGTGACCACCCAGGAGGGGGGGGAATGGCGTGGGGGTTGTGGGGACAGACATGATCGCCTGTCTGTAGGGCTCCCCTATCCCTTTCGCCCTACAGACAGGCGAGGGAGGTAGGTATCATCCCCTCCACCCCTCCCACTGCCTCACCTCTGGCGCCATCCATCTGATGGTCCCCGTCTCAGCCGTCATGTTGCCCGGCTCCTGAGCCTCTGTCCTTGCCAGCCCGAAATCCGCCACCTTGACCAGCCCAGACGAGTTCAGCAGCAAATTGGCTGACTTGAGATCCCTGTGAGGCGTGGGGGCAAGAGGGAGAGGAGGAGTGGAGGAGGGAGGGGAAGGAGTTTCAATCACCAGAATCCGCCACCTTAACCAGCCCAGACGAGTTCAGCAGCAGATTCGCTGACTTGAGATCCATGTGGGGAGAGGGGGGAAGGGATGAGGGGAGAGGGAAGAGGGGTCAGTCACGGCTTCTGTGCCTCTGAGAGGATTTTTGAGGCGCCTAAAAATTTGCCTCTGTCCTCGCCAGGCCAAAGTCTGCCACCTTCACCAGCCCAGATGAGATCAGCAGCAGATTCGCCGACTAGAGATCCCCGTTCGGTGGTGGGGGCACGAGGGAGAGAGTGGGGAGGGGGGAAAAGGAGTTTCAATCACCAAAGCCCGCCACCTTCACGAGACCGGACGAGTTCAGCAGCAGATTCGCGGATCTGAGATCCCTGTGTGAGCGTATGGGGGAAGGGATGGCGGAAGAGGGGAGCGGGAGGATGGTCAGTCAATAACCAGAATCCGCCACCTTCACGAGTTGTGCATGCTACAGCTACTTCTGGCGGATTCAGTAATTTCGGTCCAGTATTCCATGCCTTGTTCTGAGACGACTCAAAGCCACGTCCAACGAATTCTGTTGAGTGAGAGCCAGACCTATGTATTCATAGGTAAATACTATGAGCGCAGGCCTACCTATGTATTCATAGGTAAATACTATGAGCGCAGGCCTACCTATGTATTCATAGGTAAATACTATGAGCGCCGGCCTACCTATGTATTCATAGGTAAATACTATGAGCGCAGGCCTACCTATGTATTCATAGGTAAATACTATGAGCGCAGGCCTACCTATGTATTCATAGGTAAATACTATGAGCGCAGGCCTACCTATGTATTCATAGGTAAATACGATGAGCGCAGGCCTACCTATGTATTCATAGGTAAATACTATGAGCGCAGGCCTACCTATGTATTCATAGGTAAATACTATGAGCGCAGGCCTACCTATGTATTCATAGGTAAATACTATGAGCGCAGGCCTACCTATGTATTCATAGGTAAATACTATGAGCGCAGGCCTACCTATGTATTCATAGGTAAATACTATGAGCGCAGGCCTACCTATGTATTCATAGGTAAATACTATGAGCGCAGGCCTACCTATGTATGATGTTGTTGGAGTGTAAATACTGCATGCCCTGCGCCACGTCCAGAGCCATGGCCGCAATCTGCTTGAGCGACAGGCGGCGCTTGCCCAGGCGGGAGAGGGAGGGAATCGTGGGAGTAACACCACGCATCCACTTGTGGATGGTACTACAGCAACGCACCTGTGGATGATGTTGTTGGAGTGTAAATACTGCATGCCTCTCGCCACGTCCAGAGCCATGGCGGCGATCTGCTTGAGCGACAGGCGGCGCTTGCCCAGGCGGGAGAGGGAGGGAATCGTGGGAGTAACACCACGCATTCACTTGTGGATGGTACTACAGCAACGCACCTGTGGATGATGTTGTTGGAGTGCAGGTACTGCATGCCTCGCGCCACGTCCAGAGCCATGGCCGCTATCTGCTTGAGCGACAGGCGGCGCTTGCCCAGGCGGGAGAGGGAGGGAATCGTGGGAGTAACACCACGCATTCACTTGTGGATGGTACTACAGCAACGCACCTGTGGATGATGTTGTTGGAGTGCAGGTACTGCATGCCTCGCGCCACGTCCAGAGCCATGGCCGCTATCTGCTTGAGCGACAGGCGGCGCTTGCCCAGACGCGAAAGGAAGCCCTTGACTGTGCCGCCGTCTAGGAACTCTGTGACTATGGCCCACTTGGGCGGGTTGATGTACGCCCCTAGGAACTGGGGGCGAAAAGGGGGGGTGAAGTTGGGGTCTTGGGTTGTGTGTGAGGAGAAAGCACAGGGAAGGAAGCCCTTGACTGTGCCTCCGTCTAGGAACTCCGCGACTATGGCCCACTTGGGGGGGTTGATGTACGCCCCTAGGAACTGGTACGAAGGGGTGGCGGAGAATTGTGACAGCGGGTTGGAGTGGGGGGAGGGGAGAGAGGGGGGGAAGGGCGTGGGGGGAGAAGGAGGGGGGGAAGGGGCCAGTGAGGTGACGAGGGATGGAGCCGTGAGGGAGAAAGGGCGCGGGAGGAAGCCCTTGACTGTGCCTCCGTCTAGGAACTCCGTGACTATGGCCCACTTGGGGGGGTTGATCTACGCCCCTAGGAACGGGGGGTGGGGGAGAGGGGAGATGGGGAAGAGAGGGTGAGAGGGAGGGAGGGAGGGAGGGAGGGAGGGAGGGAGGGAGGGAGGGAGGGAGGGAGGGAGGGAGGGAGGGAGGGAGGGAGGGAGGGAGGGAGGGAGGGAGGGAGGGAGGGAGGAGGGGGGTGGGGGTTGGGTGAAGGGTAAGGAATCAACAGTCAAGGAACTCTGTCGCCTAAGAATTGGCATTGCGGAGGGAGGGGGGATGGGACGAGCGAGCGAGAAGAGGGGGGGGGGGGATTCGGAGGGGAAGAGGAGAGGAAGGGTGGGGGCCGGGGGCGGGCGCGGACGTTGAAGGAAATGGGGAGGGTGGGATGGGGAGGGGGATGTGAGAAGGGAAGGGCGGGTGAGGTGACGAGGGATCGAAGCGTCAAGGAGGTCGAACAGAAAGACATTGACAGTGTTGCCCAACCTTGATTGTCTAGACGTGGCCTGGCGTTAGCGACGCGTAAAATAAATATTCACTTCCCACTTAGTCCTTAACACTATTTAATTATTTCGTGTGCACTGGCTACTTGCTATTTCATGTTTTAGAGACTTTATAAACTTCATGTGCTAACGCGTTGCGTCCGTGAGTGAAGAGGAGGCGAAACGAGAGCTGGTAACAAAGAAGAGTCTGGGCCGTTTGTTCTCGCGGCGCGAAGACGAATCCCATCAGTGACAGCTTCGAACCTGGACTCCTGGTCCCTTCTCGTCATACCTGAAGGTTCGGAGATCACAAGTCCGTACTTGGACGACGATTGGGTGGTTGATTTTTGCCACACCGACACCTCTTGACTGGAACACTCTCTTCGCGTCCAGTGGCTTTCGAGTCGACTCGTTGGTACCGTAACTTACGCTCTGAACTCTCCATTCGCACACTTCTGAAAACACGAAAGAATAAGATCACGCCTGATCACCCCTGGACAACTCTTTGTTCGAACCTGGAAGACGGGGTTTCGTACCTGGACGACGTTGGGGTGGTTGAGTTTATGCCTCACGGACACCTCTTGCCGGAACCCCCGCATCGCGTCCAGTGGCAATTGAGTCGTACTTACACCCTCGTAACCCGTTTTTTTAACCCGCCGTGCGTACACTTCCAAAGAACCGGAGAATCTGTACGTACCTGAACGACGTTGGGGTGGTTGAGTTTATGCCACACGGACACCTCTTGCCGGAACCCCCGCTTCGCGCGATTCAACTCATCCTCGCTTGAAGCTTCAGGGAAGAGCAAAAACTTTATCGCGACGCGCGAGCCTCTGTACGTTCCCGAATGCACCACGCCGAACGATCCCGTGGCTATCAACTCGCCCAACTCGACCTGAAGCGATGAGGGGAAGCGAGGTGGGCGAGAAAAGTGCGAGGGGAAATTAAGATTTAAACACACTGGAAGAGCAGGAACCTGATCGCTGCGCGCGTGACCTGATACGTTTTTGAATGCACCGCGCCGAACGATCCTGTGGTTTAGCCCAACTCACTCGACTTGAAAGCGAGGGAGAAGGTGGGCAGGTGTTCGGACGGGAGGTGGGAGGAGAGACGGTTGAATCACATGGCCGGAGCATACCAGGAGAGCAGGATATCGATTGCCACGCGCGCGTCCTGATACGTGCTTTAGTGAACACTCCAGAGAATCCTGTTTGCGATCAGCTCGCCGAACTCTCACGCGCCGAACTCTCGCGACATCTGATGCCTCTCGCAATGTCCCAATTTCCCCAAACTCCGCGGGTTTCTGGGATAAGGCCGATCGCATACCTCGGAGAAATCTATCGCCCACGCTGTTGACCCCGGCGCGTCCCCTCCACTGGGCGAACCCTCGGTGCCGCGACCGCCGCTACCGGCCCCGGATGATTGCTGGCTGCCATGGCTGCCTTTGCTGTTCTCCTCCTCGCCGTTTCTGTTCCGATCTCGCCGCGGATTGCGGGTTCCTCTAGCGGAGCCGTACACACCGCCAGTCATTGGCGTTGTCTCTGCAGGTGGTGGATGGGGGAATGCAATGAAATAATTACAGGGGCAATACAAGAAATTAATGTTATACATTTGGCGACTTTTAGGCAATTTCACTGTCTTAAAACGGGTTGTTGACTGCTGGGGGAAGGACGACCTAACGGGGAGTACGGGAAAACCATAGCAATGCATGGCATGAGAAGCGACAAGAAAGCCGAAGAGGAACCGAAAAACGAGTCTGAAGACGTGAAAAAACGGTCGGTAACCAAACTGAAAGTACACCAAATGTAACTGGAAACTCGGTGGGAAACAATACCTGAAGTGTAACTAAGTTATAGCTTGATTGGAAAATTGATCCACTCAGACGTTCACGTCACACAAGCAGTGACTTTCTGGTAACCCTAAAATGCACGAAGGGTGATCCTGAGCTGCGGACCGGAAACGCAAAAGCTGGTGATGCTAACTCAACGACAAAAGTACTAGAGCTCGCATTTCTAGTCGTCTCGAAGATAATGTGCAAAGGTTTTCTTGGAAGTACAGGTCTTCGCGACTGGTAGTCTGCTACCTTGTACTATGAAAAACGCCTCTGCGTTGCGACCTAACTACGACCTTCTACGGTGACAGAAAGGCGACGATTGACGTCGAATTCGTCGTCTAAAGGACGCCATCAATGTTTTAGAATGTTCCTAATTGCAGCAGCGATCATGCAAGCGAGAACGCTGAGAGGATGTTTCGTCAGAAAAATGGGACGACGAGACTAGCAAACCGAGACGGTACGAGGAGCTGGGTCAGGAGGAGCTGTGCGAAGGTGGAAATGCGAAAGCCTCGCAAGTACTCTACATGGTATATCTGAATTTAAAGATGAATGGTGCGAGCGAGGATGGTGCATAGAGATGAAGTCAACTTGCTGATCACGAGCGAGCATAATCAATGCAGGCGCTGCTAGTTTACGCAGCGCGCGAGGGAGAGAGGGTGAGGTGAGGAGGAAGGAGAAGAAGAGATGCCAGCGCAAGCTTGAATGAATGGTGCTACTGCGTCTGCCATAGAAAAACTCTACCCTACCCGTCGCCCGCGTGCTTGTGTATGCATGGAAAACTGTTGGTGGGGGATGGTGCTTCGCTGGCAGAAGTACAGTGCAGGTTAGTCATGAGCGCGTGCGGTGGAAAATGGCTACACACACATGTTCCACAGACCTTTCGAACCGTGCACTCGAGTTTGATGAAAAGAGTTCGAAAATGATACAAGTACCAACACAAGAAGAGTCGCTCATGAGTACAGTACAGAACAGAGCTTCGTTGAAGTCGTGGTGATTCGGTTTGGTGGTTGGTGAACAAATCAAATTGGGAAAATATACGGGAAGTCACAATTAGGGCCGTTTTATCGCGTTTGATCACGGGCTATCACAAACAGTCACAGTAGAGTAGATCCCTATCGCGGATGGTCACACCTCGCCTCTAGCTATCACGTTTGGTCACTAGATGAAACGATAATAATCAATTTGAAACCACATAAGAAACTGTAGAGATTTTGGGGAATCCCAATCTTGATTCCTTGATCCTCGCGCATGATTCTAGCCTGACATTTAGGGGAATGAAGAAGAATATAAACCCCTATATGATGGCACGTTCTTCGGGAGGTATCAACCCTAAACACCATGCGACAAGGTGTTCAGGGTTGATGCATCCCGAATTAGGGTATGTTTCTATCCCGTGTCAGACATCAAGTCATGCGGCCTTACGGCGTGTCCAGTGCGTACGTTTACAGCTCACCTCGCGCTACAGTTACCACTTTTTTCGAATTGTAACCACATTTTTACATCTTTTTTTGACACGAACACCTATGATACGTAAACCAGTAACAGCCCACACGTACGCCGAATCGTAAACATGACGCGAAAGCACGTAACAAACCTCAGAATCAGACTTGCACGCGTCCACGTTGCTACAGTGACGGTTCAACGAAGTCAAGGCCGAATTTCGTGAGAATCTGGGGTTTTCGCGAAACTAAATCTTGCGAATATTTCTGGGAATCTAATTGCCGCCCTTCTGGTTACAGAGTTGTGCTGTCGCCACTATCGCGCAACATGATATTTGGCTTGTGCTGAGGGGCGAATTGTGTCTTTCCGCACATTTTTTGACGCGAAACCAGAAGGGTACACCTGGCGGTACTGTTTCTGTGAGTGATTCAAAATACTTTAAAATTAAGTAAAAATCCCAAAGTGTACGCGCTGGACACGCCCTTAGTCTCCAATTTGTCTCTTCCGAACTTCCAATCGCCCCAAAAACGAGCCACTTCGGGTCTTCCGAACCTCTGCTTCGTGTCAAACCTAATGTCTGACACGGGATAGTGTCAGAATCCCAACCACTAGACCATTGGGATAAAAGGGCTTGTTTGTGTAGCGGGTCAGTGCGCCCATAACCCCCCAGGCCAACGTGCCTGTAACCCTTCCCTAGGATCAATCGGGGAGTACCAGTGGACCTCTGACACCCCCCTGCACTGGGATGCCCGAAGTGCACACACTGGGATTCGAACCCGAGACCTTCGCTCTGATACCATGTCAGAATCCCAACCACTAGACCATTGGGATAAAAGGGCTTGTTTGTGTAGCGGATCAGTGCGCCCATAACCCCCCAGGCCAACGTGCCTGTAACCCTTCCCTATGATCAATCGGGGATCACCAGTGGACCTCTGACAGATAGAAACGCACCCTTAAATCCCATCCGAATGGGTTTTAGTTTTTTTTTCTATCTCGGGAAGAGAAAACCCCTCGAGTTTTACCGGTCTAAAAGTGATATTCTTAGAGTCATTGGGCATCATTCGAACAGTGGACAATCAGATAGTAACAGAATTCGCATATGTTTTTAACGAGTTACCGAGAATTGTCGCAAAACTATTTCGTAATACCACAGACAAAACGGCGCTCGCGAGAAAACTTTCCTTGAATCCCTACAGTAACTTGAGTAGTTTCAATTTTCTATCGAACGTTTCAACGAGTGACCAAACGTGATAGCTTCTCGGTGCGAGGTGTGACCATCCGTGATAGCACTGTGATCACCCGCGATAGAAATCTACTGTACTATGACTGTTTGTGATACCCCTATGATCAAACGTGATAAACCAGGCTTAAAGGTGACTTCCTATATAATTTCCCAATTCAATTCGGCCTCAAAGCTTTTTCGTTCTCTCTTTTCACAAAGGGCAACACAACTGGGAAAACAAATATGCGTGTGGCCTTTGGTTTCAAAATCGGGCCAAGATTCAAAGTTGGAGGCGACGAGGACTTCATATCGGCAGCCCAGCCCTTCATGGATTGGGTGAAAGGGGAGAGGATGTGGGTGTTCCAGAAGGCTTTTGCTGAGGTGTGTGACACGGAGTGGTTGGTTAGAGCTCCGCGGCCTCGAACTCGAGGACACCCAGGCTAACCAAGTACTGCACTTCGTGTTTCATGGTGCTCACAAACAAACACCCCATA